CCTTTGCTTTTGGGCTAATTATCATCTTCCACACACAGGAGTTTCAGTACAGAGGTTTGTCCATCTTCTGATGTTCATTTATAAGATTTTATTAGCACCTTCACCCCATATCGCTGAGTTTGTAACTTTAGCACATAGACCATGGGAGAAGAAAATTTTCTAGTATGCAGAATAAGGATTCTAAAAAGGAATAGTTCTCAACGTAAGGTCATACATTGTTTGGTGTGTGTGTATTTTCAACTTTGAACTACATTATTCTTTTGTTGGATGTGGGGTTTGAACTCTGGGCCTGGGCACTGTCCCTCAGCTCTTCAGCTCAAGACGAGTGATCTCCCATTTGAGCCACAGTGCTACTTCCAGTTTTCTGGTGGTTAATTGGAGATGAGAGTCTTGCAGATGTTCCTGCCTGGGCTGGCTTTGAACCTCAATCCTTAGATCTCAGCTTCCTGAGCAGGTAGGATAAAAGGTGTGAGCCACTAGTACCCAGACTTAAAAGACATTTTTATGACCAAGTCTTTATTGAATACATATCACATCAGACTCAGCACTAAAAGCTGTATTTCATTCAGCCTTAAAATATTGTACAATAGATATGATTTCCTTTCTTTTTTTTTTTTTTTTTTTTGCGGGGCTTGAACTCAGAGCCTGGGTGCTATGCTGTAAGGAACGGCTTTTGCTCAAGGCTAGAGATCTACCATTTGAGTCACAGCTCCACATACAGCTTTTCTGGTAGTTTGGTGGAGATAGTCTAGTTTGGTGGAAACAGTCTCACACACTTTCCTGTCTGAGCTGACTTTTAACCATGATCCTTAGATCTCAGCTTCCTGAAAAACTAGGATTACAGGAATGAGCAGCCAGCACCCAGTTTCATTTCCATTTTTTAGGTGGAAAAAAAAACCCTGAGGCATAACAAAGTTCAATCACTTGCAAACAATACCATCTTAAATTGTGAAGAAAATAAAACATACATTGACAATAGTCTCTAGCTTTAAACTTAAAAAAAAAGGTAAGAAAAAATTCTAACAACTTGTTTTTATAACAAGTTAGGTGAATCAGGTGCCAGTGCCCTGTAATCCTAGCTACTCAGAGGCTGAGATATGAGGATCACGGTTCAAAATCAGCCTGAGCAGGAAAGTCCATGAGACTTTTATCTCCAATTAACCACCAGAAAACCAGAAGTGGCGCTGTGGCTCAAGTGGTAGAGTGATAGCCTTGAGCTGAAGAGCTGGGGGACAGCAAGCACCCAGGCACAGAGTTCAAGCCCCATAACCAACAACAACAAAAATAATAATAAGGTGAGTAGGTAAGCAAATAGATAAATGACATGTAAAAAGTGATTTCTTAATGCTCAATAGGAAATGTACTCATTACCTTACTCATATTAACTGAAACCCCTCCGTACAGTATCTTTACAATAAAAATATATATTTAAAAAATGATTTCTTTTAAATAACCATATATGTGTGTATGTGTGTGTGTGTATGTGTTTATATATTCTTAGTAACTAAGATGAGCCTTTAGAGTTGTATAAGAAATATTTTTTGTCAATGGAAGGATGGCATTCTCAGGAATACTGTAGAACAGAATCTGAGGTTTGAATGAGAGCCTGCTTACCTGACAAGAGCAGGATTCTGAACCAGATACTTAGTACCCAATCCTGGCTCCATTGCTAACATTGGAAGTCCCTAAATCTCCCCTAGCCTTGAGTGCCTTTTTTTTCTTTTTAGCAGTATTTGGTTTTAAATGCAAGATCTCAAATTTGTTAGGTAAGGTACCTATTTTGCCATTTGAGTCACACCCTCAACCATTTTAATTTTAGTTATTTTTCAAATAATGTCTTAAGTTTTTTTGTTTTTTTTTTGGTCTGGTCGTGGGGCCTGAACTCTGGACCTGGGTGCTGTCCCTCAGCTCTTCAGCTCAAGGCTAGCACTCTACCACTTGAGCCACAGCACCACTTCCGGCTTTTTTCTTCTTGTTTATGTGGTGCTGAGGAATCGAACCCAGGGCCTCATGCATGCAAGGCAAGCGCTCTACCACTGAGCCACCTTCCCAGCCCAATGTCTTAAGTTTTTGTCCAGGCCCAGCCTCTGCTTTTCAGATATCTAGGATTATAAATGTGAACTACCACACCCAGTCTGGGTATCCTTATTTAGAAGGTAAGTGGTTGAACTAGGACAGTATTTTCCAAGAATTGGCCTGAGGTAAAGTTTTTAACCAGTTTTTAACCATCAGAATAAGGATGATGAACTCATTTGTCTAATTAAATTCACTTCTTTTATAAATCCTTAATTTGTTTTTATGAACCATAAGGATTTTTCCTCACTTTGAGCATTCTTACATGGCAAGTTCCAACAATGAGCCACATAATAGAGCCTTGCTATTGAAATATATGTGTATTTTTAGAGGTCCATAAATCCAAAGTTCTGGATCAGTAGATATGATAAAAAAAAATTAATCCTTTTCTAGCTCTCAAATTCTATCTTCTTAAATCACAAGTAGCACTTAACTAACTTAAAATTGAAAAAAAGAAAGAGAACTATTTTTCTTTTTTAGCCAACCCATTGTTCAAATGTGTTTTATGATGGACAAGCCTATGAGAATACATTATAGCTTTCTTTTACTTTTTTTTTTTTTGTCAGTCATGGGGCTTAAACTTTGGGCCTAAGCACTGTCCCTCAGCTATTCAGCTCAAGGCTAGCACTCTACCACTTGAGCCACAGCGCCACTTCCAGTTTTCTGGTCGTTTATTGGAGATAAGAGTCTCAGGGACTTTCCTGTTTTGAACCATGATCCTCAGATCTCAGCCTCCTAAGTAGGCTAGGATTACAGGCGTGAACCACGGGTGCCCAGCTGACATTTTAGCTTTCTATGGATAAGGGGAATTATCCACCAAATGTTTTTCAGAAACAATGGGTTAAAAAAAAAAAAAAAAAAAAGACAAATTTCTTAGCTGAGAAAAGTTCAGAACCTATAAAGTGCTAACATCTATTGTGACTCCCCCACAAAAGACAAAGCATCAGCCAAGTACCAGTGGCTCACACCTGTAATCCTAGCTACTCAGGAAGCTGAGATCTGAGCATCTGTTTGTAGCAAGCCTGGGCAGGAAAATACATGAGATTCCTATCTCCAATAAAAGCCAGAAAAAGCATTGTAGCTCAAGTGGTAGAGTGTTAGCCTTGGGTACAAAGAGGCTCAGGGACAATGACAACAAATATATTGCCTTTCTCCTTTCTCATCCACTGTATAACAATGCACCTTTTCCTGGAACCCAATTTGACTAAGGTGGCTTCAACTAAAAAAAAAAAAAAGTTATTCAGTATCTTCCATAATAAAGAAAAAGTATTAAATACAAGAAAACTTGCCACTTATAATCTGATGGAGTTTCATTTTTCAAATTACCAAAATTATGGATTGTTTTAAATTTACAAAAGAAGCCCAACTAAAAACACATCTGATGAATGGTACAATAAAAAATATGCAAAAGTTTTATGGCTATTTTTGACTGCTTTTTTTTTTTGTCTTTACCATTACAAATAAAGGCAAGTTGTACCAAGAAATGAGTACTCCATGATTGCACATTCTAATTAAAGCACTTGGAATTTACAGAAATTTGTAGTAACTGAATGTTGGCTTTTGTCCCTACCCAGCAAATACAAAAATCACATCAAATCATCTATAAGTACTGAGACTGAAAAAAAATGCCAAGTGTCATGTGGCCCTTAAATCCTTCATCAATCTGACCAACCAATTCTGAATGTCTGTGGCGCACACTTTATTTAAATCACACTGTGATTTAAATTACTCACTGTGATCAGGGAACAAAATTCTTGGTAGAAGAAAAAGAAAAGATCTAAGAGTGCTTGTTTGACTTATTCTTTGCATCATTAGTTGAGAAGATTAGTTTAGGTTTTTGTTGTTGTTGTTGTAACTGCTTTTCACATCATCAAGTGAAAGACCATTCAGCCAAATGCTTCGTTCAACATTCTCATTCTAGATTCAAGTTTCACTTTATACAGTGACAAAAGGACACTTTTCAAAAAGAGACAAAATGATCCTGAAGTGAACTCACCAGAGAGAGGTTAAAGACACAATCTTTTGGATATTCCAACATGAACAATTTTTCTTTCTGACTCTGTGCACACTATGCTCTGTACTAGGTCCAATCTTTTCCATCATAACTGTATGGTAAATTCCAGTCTGTTTTTCATAATCCTGCTGACTACTGCAGTCTGCAGCCATAAAAAGCCTTTGCAGACCTAGAGTTGGCTTAGAAAAATGCCTCTGCACAGGAACCAAACTACATGCCGCATTTATGCTCAGACGGGACAGAGGCAAGAGCCGCATGTTCCGGTGTTCATGGACTCAGAAGGGAGGCTTGTGGGGTCTAAGTTTAGAAATTTTAATTTCTTTCGGATGACATTTGTAAACAAAATACCAACACTAAAATAAGAGCAATTTAAAAAAAGAAGGAGGGGGAGTGTCCCGTTCTGCTCAATCTCTCTTCCAAACGCCCCCAAAGAGGTGCCTGCTGCTTGCTTCAGGGCTGTATTTGGGTCGGACCTGCCTGGACTCCCTCAGCCTCCTGATGAACAGGTACATTTGAGATTTATACCAAAGAGTTCCAGTTTTAGAACTAGCTTTTAAAAAAAAACCATAAGTGAATACTGGCTTAGTCTCTGGGGAAGAGCATAAAAGCACCACATAACTCTCTAACAAACCCCCCCCAAAAAAAACTCATTTACACAATATTACTCAAGATACAAATACTGTACTTCCATATGCTACCATTCAGGTTCCTCTGAACATAAGAAAAAGTTGTGGTAAAGTGAAAAGTAATCACGGGGAAAGTAAAAGTTTAAGAGACACCCCCCCCCCTTCTTTGGCCTTCCTGCACCATAACTCTACCCCTTCATATTGAAAAACATATCATATTTAATATATAACAGTTAAACACATCCATTAGTATTACTTTTAAAACATAAAACATCAGAACTACTTGCCTTTTGGCAATTTCTGTGCATTTCCCAGGGCAAGTGCAATACTTCCACAGAGAAGTAGACACCCCAAGCTGGAGAGCATGTTGCATTGGCCACCTCACACGGGGAGTGATGCTGGTGGACGCCTCACAGCTCTGGAGCTGCATTTAAGTAGACTGTCTTCCAGTGACAGAGCCAGGCGGCTGCACTGTGCTGTGCTGTGGGCTTACTCACAAGGGGTGGAGACAAGATGACATCACACCCTTTCCCACACACACCAAAAAAATAAAACACACACACACATATCATCACATCTCTGTCTGTCTCTTTTCTTCCTTCTGTGATACAAATTTGAAATTATAGCCAATCTATAATTGTGGAAGAAAAAGTATTTATAAGGCAATTTTGAAACATCAGATGAACTACTTTACTGAGTAAAGACACACTTAAAACCATCAGGATGTTAAAAATATAAAATGAAGAAGGAAACTGTTTTTAATTATCTAAGAAACCAATCCAACCCTTTTTTTAAAAATATGGGACCAAGTTCATAAAAATATATTTTGAACTCCTCTGCAGTTCTAAGATTTTAGGGAAACTGTTTAAGAGGAATTATAGATCTATACTGTACATTATATATAGCACAGGTGTGGTATACATTAATGCATACAAATGGATACATGTGGATATTCCAGAGCTAGGGATGTAAAGACAGACGCAGCACATTACCAGCTGATCTTTACCATGAGCTGGGCTCTGAAATAGCATTTGATAGAGTGACTGTGTAGGAACTATGGTGTTATACCCATTTACCAGTGACAAACCAGGCTCAGAAAGGTTAAGGGTCCTGATGAAGTAAGAATATTCTAATGATTAATGATCTGGCAGGTCTGGAGTAGAACTGATAAGATTTTAAATTTAGGTCTCAGTAGCAAGGTGCCCTTGAACAAACTTCTGCAACATCTCATCAATATGAACTACATTTCGGTGCTCTGAAATTTGTTAGATATATGTCTAGTCCATTTAATAAATTTCAACATTTATTCCTCCAAGCAACCTATGAAGAAAGCCTTGTTGTCTCACTTATTTTACAGGGAGAAAAACTGAGCCTAAGGAGGTGAAGTGAAAGGACTAAGGTCATAGCACTAAGAAGCAACAGGGCTGGCCGTATTAAGCAGACAACGTTACCCCTGCGCTCCTAGTTCTAATCACTAAACTTTAGATTCTACAGCGGAGACGATCAATGTCATAAATTTGCTAGCAGGAGTTTCACTGCAATGCCTGGCACACAGGAAGCATTTATCAAATGACATTATTGCAAACATTAATAAATGACAACCATAGTAAAGCCCTTAATTTAGTAGACTTCTCTCCACCCCCAATATACTCTATCACAAAGTCCTGAACACAGATAATGGAATGGCTGGGTATTTAATAAGACACTTTAAGGGACTAGGAAGGTGGCTCAGTGGTAGAGCGCTTGCCTTGCATGCATGAGGCCCTGGGTTCGATTCCTCAGCACCACATAAGCAGAAAAAGCCAGAAGTGGTGTTGTGGCTTAAGTGGTAGAGCGCTAGCCTTGAGCTGAAGAGCTGAGGGACAGTACCCAGACCCAGAGTTCAGGCCCATGACTGACAAAAATAAATAAATAAAATAAAATAATAAGGTACTTTAAGTGTCTTTGTCTATTTATATTGACTCTTTGAAAATGGCTTATTAGATGATGTTTCTATAGCTGAATCCAAACTGTAAGAAAGAAATGGGAGCAGGCTGCTAAAAGAAATTCTAGGTAGGCAACTTAGCAAAATAAAAATTGAAGAGACAGCCCTGTCCTCCAAATAAAGCGCAAGGAGGCACATTGTTAAAGTCATTTGGAGCTGGCCTGGCCTACACTCTCACCATCGGAATGCTCTGGCAGGGGCTACGGAAGAGACTGGGTTATTTAACAGGGCTTTTCATCCCTGATTTTCTACTTGAATGGGCAGCTCTCTCAAACCTGAGTTTGGACATTCATCCAACTGGCCGTGTGTGAGTTCTGCCTCTATATGCCATTAACATTAAGTTAAGCCAGTGGGGCCACAGTGTTAGCAGGAAACGACAGATTTTCTAAGGGAACAAACCCAGCAGAAATATTGAAGAAGGGGTGTGAATTAGCTAATGGAACTCAGGGATCAGACTCTGCTTGGCCAGCTGAGGAAGTCTGACCCACATTAGCAGTCCTGACTAGCTGGTTGTAATGAAATAAACTCAAATCTCTGATTGTTTGGTCAGGAAAAGATGGTCACATTACCTTTGCTAGGAGGACAAATGAGCAATTCAGTGAAGATGTTGACAGTATCAGAGCTCTCTTCCAGCCAGGGAAGAGTTATGGCTTAAAGGAAGGGACCATCTCAGAGAGGATATTTCACCTCCTCAATAAAATAATTTTCTGTCCTGTCATTTTCCCAATCTAAACAGAAGGATAGAAGTGTTCCAGAAAAACTTTAAGTGCCTGCTTACATAAAATAAAGGCATCATACCTTTGCTTCATGGAATCATAAAGAGTGTTTCAGGCTATCTTCTAGAAAGACCTGACCATGGGACCCTGTAGAAGACACTAGAATAATTTGTGCAATCATGCTAGGACACACAACCCTAACCCCATTCAAACTCCTCTTCAAGTGGTTATTTGAAATGTGGAAATGCAAAACTCCAGATCCGTGGGAGATTATAGACGCTATAATGTATTGTCATTCATATTTGTAAAAACAAAAATCCTATTGAAACAACATTGGAAAATGGCTTGAAAACCACATAAAATATACTTGTACTTATCTGTAATATTTTAGTGATTGCAGACACAGTGCTTCTTTTGCTTATAATTGTTCTCAGTGCCTAGAAGAAAGATGCAAGTGAACAACGGTATCAAAGGAAAAGTAACCCATCAATTCCTGCAAAGAGTCTAAACCTTAGTCCTAGGATAATCCAGCGGATACTTGAGTTATGACCTTGAAATAATTTCTATGTATTTTATGAGCAGAGACACTAATGCCCTGTGTTCTGGATGAAATGTTTTGCAAATAGCCTGAAAGAAAGAAACTCTTTTTCTAACTCCTAAAGGTAATTTCCTGGAGTCAAACAAAATTCATGGTTATTGCCTATCTTCCAGCATTCAAGTTCCCTAAGCTTAGTGACCCTCTCCTACGATGTAGCCCATGGCATATGCAGGTGTGACCTGTAGCTATTTGTATTGTCCTGTAGGAACTAGGATTCTTTGTACTGATGGGCATTCAGTCTACCGCTATTGCTGTAAGTAAACAATTGCCCTTTGTCTTTGACCTAGGAGTCTTGCTTCTCATGGCAGTAGCCAGGAACTATGAATGTTAACTTGCATATAAAGCAAAATCATAGCCTTGACAACAACAAATCATAGTGTTGGCCCACTTTAAAATATCTCATTAGCTCTTTGTAGTGCTTCCATGTAATAACTACAATGAACTCCACTGTAAGAATCAGCTAAAATCTGCTACTGTATATAGAGAAAGAACTGCCAAGCCTTGTTTATTAAATAATATTCTTTTGTGTATGTGTGTGTGCCAGTCCTGGGGCTGGAACTCAAACCCTAGGTACTATTCCTAAGATTATTTGGCACAAGGCTAGCCCTCTACCCCTTGAGTCACAATGCCACTTCTGGCCTTTTCGTAGTCATTTATTGGAGGTAAGAGTCTCACGGGCTTTCCTGCCTGGGCTGGCTCAAACTGTGATCCTCAGATCTCAGCCTCCTGAGTAGCTAGGATTACAGGTGTGAGTCACCAGTGCTCAGCTCATGCATTTTTTAAACACTCTAGAGAAAATGTTAGACTGTTCTTTATGTCAAAAACCCCCAAAACATTGTGAAATTGTTTCTGTAACTAGGTTCTGTAACCATGGTAACCAGGTTTCTCTGTGGAGATTGCTAGAAAAACAGGGCCAAGCCAGTCCCCCTCCTATGCTAAGTGTATAGGTCTGTGCTATGTGCATTTCTTGACATCATTCTTGGCTATAATTTTCATCTCCACCCTTACTTCTTGCTTATTTTACTTGAGTCTTAATTTATGTGATTTTGTAAGTTGTTTTCATTTGTTTCTGGAATGAGGTGAAGTCAAACAAACAAACTCCCATGCACAGGAGTTATGTCAAAAACACGTGTCAAAACAGGAGAAGTGTGAACCTATGACCTGCCATTGTTTTCTTCTTCACAAAACAGTACACCTGAGTGGGCTTTTGGCATCACAATCATATGGCAACATTTCTTTATACATATTTTCTCCTTAGGAAAAGGAAGAGGAACTCTTGCGTCTAAGGTACATTGAGAACCCAACTCCACGTAAGTGTCATATGATTTTTTTTAATTCATTTTATGTTAGACTTTTATAAGTATTCAATATTAATCTCATTACTTAAAATGACACTTCAATATATCTAAATCTTTCAAATCTTGGAAATAAAATTCCTTGTACCTGGGGCTGGGAAGGTAGCTCAGTGGTAGAGCGCTTGCCTTGCATGCATGAGGCCCTGGGTTCGATTCCTCAGCACCACATAAGCAAAAAGAAAAAAGCTGGATTTGGTGCTATGGCTCAAGTGGTAGAGCACTAGCCTTGAGCTGAAGAGCTAAGGGACTGCCCAGGCCGAGAGTTCAGGCCCCACGACCGGACCCAAAAAAAAAAATTCTTTGTATCCACTTTGCCTCTCAGTCTACAGTTTTTAGGTTCTAGTACACTAGGAACTATAGCAGGGTATTTTTTTAAGGTTTATATATTTGCAATTAATAGTATACAAAGGTATGGTGTGGTTTCATAGGGATGTTAATAAAGCATGATTCATATTTGAAATGGGAAATCTAGTGTTCCATGTTTTCAGCCCAAATCTTGTTTCTATAATTACTGTACTGAACTAAGTTTCTGATCCAATTGGACAAGTATTTTGCTCCAGTGAGGTGTATTTGGCCAGAGCATTAAACTTCCTTCCACAATGGTTTATATAACTCTGACAAGTTTTACCTTTAAGTGTGCAAGCTATGTTTGCCAGTCATTCTTCAATCTCTCTAAAGGCATCTTGACCTCCCTTTTTTGGCTTGATTCCCCTAGAGTCTAGAACTTGTAC